CGGGCTCCCTGCTCGGCAGGGAGTCTGCTTCTCCCTCTGACCCTCTGCCCTCTCGTGCTCTCTATCTCTCTCATTCTCTCTCTCTCTCTCAAATAAATAAATAAACAAATCTTTAAAAAAAAATGGGCAAATGACGTGAATAGGATTTCTCTAAAGGTGATATGCAAATGGCTGACCAGCATATAAAAAGATGTTCAACATCACTAATCATTAGAGAAATGCAAATCAAAACCACAATGAAATATCACTTCACACCCATTAGGTTAGCTAATATCAAGGGAAAAAAAAGCAGGTACTTGAACAGATATTTGCACACCCACGTTCACAGAAGCATTATTCACAAAAGCCAAGAGGTGGAAGCCACCCAAATGTCCATCGATGGATGAATGCATAAACAAGATGTGGGATATCCATACAATGGAACAGTATTTGGCCTTAAAAAGGGAAGGAAATCCTGATCCATGCTACAACATGGATAAACTTTAAGGACATTATGCTAAGTGAAATAAGGCAGTCACAAAATGACAAATACTGTATGATTGCACTTACATCAAGTAACTAACATAGTCAAATTCATAGAAACAGAAAGTAATATGGTGGTGACCAGGGCTGAAGAGAAAGGGAAATGGGGAGTTGTTGTTTAATGGGTACTGAAATTCAGTTTTGCATAATGAGAAAGTTTGGGAGATTTGCTGCATAGCAGTGTGAAGGTACTTAATGTTACTGAAATATACACTTCCAAAGGGTTAAGATGGTAAATGTTCTTTTTTTACTCCATTTGTTTAAATATTGGTTACTCTTCTCTACACCAGAAATAACTGATTTGAAAATAAAATTACAATAAGATAATCAATCATAATGACAACAAAGTCTGTAAAATGTCAAAGAATTAACTGAGCATGCACAGGACCACGATGAAAAAGTGAATTTTAAAAAGCATAATAAAGAACAAAGAAGATGATTTGACTAGATGGAGAAATACCCTCTGTTTTTTGCATGGGATGACTTAATAGTAAAAAGAAGTCAGTTATCCCCAGACTGCTCAATAAGCGCAGTATAACCTCAGGCAAGGTTCAGCTTTAATTCTGAGGAACTCAAAAAAACTTACAGTACAATATGTCTGGAAAAAATAAAGATCCACAAAGAGTTAACATAAGCCTTGGGCTAGAGCAGGGGAGACCAGAAAGGAGTGTTCTCTCAGGTCCCTGAACAGGAAATGACAGTCTTCTGTTATTACTGAGGTCTTGTCCCCACCCCAGGCCAAAGGAAGCCCAAGTTTTGCATCTTTCCACCCCCACCACCACCACCACTGGCCCAACTTTGGTTTCTTTCTTTCGTGTTGTGAATTCACCAACTGTCCTACATCTGTCCTTCTAGACCCACATTTCTCCACCCTGGGTTTTGTCCCAAGTGCTGGCCTGTAGGACATCACAGGTTCCCGAGCTCCTTGGCTTGCCCTGCCTTTCAGCCTTGCTCTGAGAACAGAGGGAGGCGGAGCTCGAGGTCAGGGTCTTTACTCCTTTGGCTCCCTCACAAGGTCACTTTAGACTGGCTGTGTCCCTTGACTGAAGGGCACTGTTGCGGGCAAGCTAGTGACACTGTAGGACTGGCTCCTTCTGAATTCTGATAACCCCTCCAGTCCCTTGCCTCTTGGGACCTCGGGGTAGTCACAAGTCAGCTGCTGCTACCCCCAGGTTACACGGGGCTATCCCCCACCTACTTCTTTGGAAATACTTCCTTGTAAATAGACTCTCCCCTTGAACTATCCTGTTTTGAGTGTGTCATCTGTTTTCTGTTGAGGCCCTGGGACAATGGAAGTCATTTCTTTCTTCATGCCCTGCATCTGGCCAGTCTGGCCAAGGGCTCTTGGAAACTCATTTGTGGAAACATGGGCGAGGAAGGGTCAGGAGAACCGGTGAGTCCCCCCGCCTCGGGGAGCAATCTTTTTGGGTTTGGGGTCTTCCCACTCTCTGCAGCCCCTGGGGACTGGCCTGGCAAAAGTAATTTTCCTAAATAAACGTGGAGATTAAATACCAAGCTTTTTCTGGTCTTTTCACATGACTGTGTACATGAGTAAGGAAACAGAGAAGCTGGAACGCAGGAGCATGTTGTCACTCAGGAAAAAAAGCGCTGAGGATACACCCTCCCATGGTGTATTTGAGTTTTATTCCCATTGTCTTTTTTTTTTTTTTAATCTGAGTATAGTTGACACACAGTGTTACATTAGTTTCAGGTGTACAACCTAGTGATTCAACTTCTCTCTACTTTATGCTGTCCTCACCACAAGCGTAGCTCCCATCTGTCACCACACAACGCTATTACCATATCATTGACTATATTCCTCACGTTGTGCCTTTTATTCCTGTGACTCATTCGCTCCGTAACTGGAAGCCTGTGTCTCCCACTCCCCTTCACCCATGTTGCTCAACCCTCCGCCCCCTTCCCTCTGCAACCGTAAATTTGTTCTCTTTTGTTTATAGGTCTGATTCAGCTTTTTGTTTGTTTATTCATTTGTTGGGGGTTTTTATAGACCTCATACATAATTGAAATCATATCAAAAGAAGAACCTCAAACTTGAGGTCAACACAGTTTTCTAAAGTATTGGTATCTGCCCCAAGGGTTGAAGGGACTCCCTGCATCGTGCATGCCCTCGTGAACACAGACCCAGCCCTTTTATGGGTGGACAGTTGGACTAGATGACCTTTAAAGTCGATTCCAGCTCCAAGTTCAGCTTTTAAAATGAGCAAAACATTGAAAGGAGAGACCATGTGTTGTACCACCTGGATTAGATATAACCCAAAAGCCTAACTGCCTCTCCCCGCCCCCCCCCCCTCACACACACACACACACCCCTTTTTGGCCTTTGATTATGTTTAACATTCTACTCTCCTCACACAGTCCTGGAGCTGGCCCACCATTACCTCACTTCTTTCCATCCAAGCACATCTCATCACCCCATGTAAGGACGTGTATTTCCTCCCTTTTCTCCCTAATCTGGCTTCCTGGATCCCAGGAGACCTATGTGGCACTTTTTCCTACGCCTTATCTGGAAAGGGACAGCCTTCCCTTTAAAACAAAAACACACAAAGTTAAGGCAGAGAAAAGCCTGCCAGGAATCTCCAGAGGAGGACTGGAAGCTATCCAATTAGCTGACTCTCTCCTTCCTTCCCCTGGGGGTCTTGTCACTTTGATTCCCACTGCTGTGGCCAGACCCAGACCTTTTGGATGTGCAGCTTCCTCAAAATCAGCCAGGCAGAGACACCACCCAAAGCCCTACCCCCAGACCAGACTAGCACTTCAGAAGGAATTTGCTTTGTCAACCAAACAAAAACAAAAATCATGAATGGAAAAACGAAAATGAAACAACATTAAGACTTTAAACAGCAAGTTTTTAAATTACGTCAGGCAGAGGAGGAAGATTATTTACATGATACACAAGCTTATTCATTAAATGCTATATATAAATGCAAAAAAATATATAAAACTGATAAAACTTCTAGACATTAATTTCTGAGCCTACATTTGCCAATTAGCACAGCGCACAGCACTTTCCCTCTTCCGACCTTATATGGCCTTGCTCAGAGAATAACCGTTTTAAATTCATGAGCACTTTCCCCTCTCATTGACTTCTCCAGGAAACTCCTTCCAGAACAAATGCCCTGATCACAAGGATCCTTCTTGGGGAAACCATGAATGTGTAAGAGACCAATTCACTGGTTGGACAAACCCTGAGCACCTACTTTGGACATCACGTCCGTAAGACCAGTGCTTCCCCCATTCCTCTGTAGGCTCCCATCAGCACAGAAACAGTCCAAGGATGAAGGGTTCTAGCCCCCATGACCACCCCTCACACCCACCCGGAAACACACACATTCATGGAAAGCAGCACACAAGAAGGCTCTGCAGTCTGTCTTCTGCCTCTTCCTCCAGCTCATCAGATTCTGGCCTTATGTATTCCCATGTAGACACACACATGCAAATATGCATCCGTAGCCCTTGTTCTCCCTCCACAATATCCCGTTAGGCTAAGCTGCTTCAGTACTTGTCTTCACTTCTGGTTTCTTTTCCTTGCCCGAAGTCTAGTGTCCAACTCTAATTCCAAAAACTATGCCACTGCCCAGTTTTCTGTGTCCAGCAGGTGTCGCCCCTCACCGGAAACAAAATGCACCTCCCTTCTACAGTGAGAAATCTGTACCCCAACAGTGGATGGCCCTTGGGTTGGGGGTAAAAGGGAATGAAAGTGTGGCTCTGAAGAGGGTGTGCTCCCCAGCATGAGGATCCTCTGGATAAAGCCATCTACTTACGTAGATGGTAGACAAACATCCTATAGAAAATTTGTTCTTTGATCTTGGACAAGTTATTCCCACTCTGAATCTTGCTTTCTTCACCCATGACATGGAAGGAGACAATCTTTTCCTCCTGGGATTATTGTAAGAAGTAAATAAGATACAAATACAAAGCACTTAGCCCAGCACCTAGGTCATAATAAGCACTTGAGCTCTTCCCCACTTAGGGTTTGGAAGAAGTAACTGCCCAGAACTCCCATTTGAAGTTAAGCTCTGCCCCCTGAGTCCTATCTGAGGATCTGCATCAGGGTTGTGATGAGGATCAATGAAATAATGCATGTAAAGTACCTGGTCCAATGCCTGGCCCAGAAAGTTGAGTAACAAGTAATAACTAACATCTCTCTTATGGGCTCAGCATGTGCCAGCAATGTTCTTAGCCATCTGCAAGTATGAACTCACTCAATCCTCCTAAGACCCCTTATGAAGTAAGTAATCTGTCAATTCCCTACCTCTTCCTGATTCTGTGACTACATTCAACCATAGTTTAATTTCTTCTTATGAATTATAGATTAGAAAACTGCCCCCAATTCTGTCATGTCTAGAGGGAATAATCAGGAGGACGTACTGACTCCTCCACTCAAGTAGGAGAGAAGTAATCCCAACCATAACTCTGCTCATGGTCCCTCCCCAGGGCCTCAGGAAAAAGCATAGAAAAACAGTATTTCGACCAGAGTTTATTCCTCAGAGATGACTGCCAGCAATTCATTGGCCCCTGTGGCACAGTGTGGCCTCCAGAAAGGCCTTTAACCTCCCTCCCCAGATGATATTTGACCCAGAAATATAGCCTTGGACAACAACTTGATTACAGAATATTCCCAGGAATGAGTTCCCCCAACTTGCTAAGGTGTACATGGGGTCGGCTGGGAAGTTCAAAGATCTGGATGGAGAAACCATAGGATCCAAGAAAATTTGTAGGGTCTGAGGATGGTGGGGGAACACAGCAGCATCACTAAGAGTTTGAATCTTCACACTTGAGGTAGAAGGTGTAGGACTCCGCCTCTAATTGACGTGTTGACCTGCAAAAGAAATAAAAAGGAAATAATAAGGCTTCAAACCAACTTGACCCCATCCTCTGTTTCTATAACCATCCATGCCAGAGCCCTTAATACAGTGATATCAAAAATTCTAGACCACCAAGGACTAATACTACAAAGCCACTTTCAGTCATTTCCCCATAGATGCTCCACTGGATAGAAGAAGGGTGTGTAGGTGCTCCTCTTTCCTGCTCCTAATCCCAACAATGGCAGTTTAAATTATGCTCTTGGCTACATCCTGGTGGACCCTCACCCCCACTATAAGCACCATTAGCCAAGCCCAACGCTGACTCCCGAGATCTCACACCCCTCCAAAGGACCAGAAGGCAAACAGACCAACAGAGATGTTACCTTCTGGATAACTGTCCCCAGGGAGGAAAATGTAGCCTAGGAGAAGAAAATATCTGATTAGAGGACAGTCTATAGATAAAAGTATCTAGTGTTACTCACAGCAAATGAGGTAGCAATGGGAAAACCAGTCATGAATAGAAAGTGAACAGAAATTGGGAGTGAGATTGGCAACAGGAGGTCAGGGGCGGCACTCACCAGACGAGCCAGCTCTCCGCCAGCTGAGCAAACCAAGAAAGAAAATGATGAAGCCCAGGCCCAGAGTCGCTGCAGACACAGAAACCTTCACTATCTGCATTGGGGACAGCCCATGTGCTGCAAAAATAGAAACTTACTAGAACCGATCTGTCGCTCATTGCCAGAGCAACATAATTTAGTGTGACCTCCACCTAGCAGGTTCAAAGGTGCTTTATCCCAATGCCAAGGGCCTAGCGCACACCAACCTACACCCAAGGAGACAGACTTTCCTCAAAAATCCCCATCCCGTAGCTCTCTACTCCTAGAGTAGCCCTGGGGGACCCCCTCACAAGAGTTAGCACCCTAGCTTCTAGGTCCTCTCTAATACAGTGGGGCTCTCAAGGCATCTTTTTTCCTTCCTTCACCCTGAGGGTGACCTCACCAAAGAATAAAGGATTTCTCATTCCCCTCTCCATTTACCCCATAGTGACAATGTTTACTCCCTTATGTGCTCTACCTATTTGTCTATTAAAATGTCCTTCCACCTTTCTTAACTCTCAATGATCCCAATCCATGTGTTGTCTGACTACTGAGGTATCTCCTCCTGTCTACATCCAGATTTCCAGAACCTGTCTCCAACCCACTCCATAGCTCCCACTTCCTGAAACCCATCGTACTCTGAATCCCACCCCACCTGGATTCCTTCCGCCATGCTAAAATGAACATTCCATCACCAAAGGAAGCTCTGGTGCATGCTGGGGAGGAGATTTTCCCAGGAGAGTTCCCGTGCGCCTGTGGGTTCCTCTCTCTGCTCTTCATACCTTTCTCAGCTGCCCAATAAGACAGCACTCCCCAGAGGGGGAGCCCAGTCTCAGCAGCCAGTCTGGGATTCTGTTGCCTAGCCCTTCATAGATTCTCCTCTTCTTCCTCATTGTTCCCTCTTCTCTTTCCCCAAATCTGTGTACCAAATCTCTTGGTACATTTAACTACTTCCAATCCTGGGGTTCAAACAGTGGTCATTGGTTCCTTGTTCATTAGCCCCCAAGCATGTAAACCAAAGTGTTTGTCAGCCAGGCTTTTTCTTCCCCGACAGAGTGGCCCAAATTCAGTACTGCCCCCACACCAAGAGAAAGTCCTGTTTCTTCTGAAACCTTTTTTATTCCTTCAATTCCCATTCCTGACCAGACAACAGAATAGTTGAAATCTGAGGATCCTAAAATGTTGCATCACAAATTTTGGTTGTTGTGAAAACATGGTTACCAAACCACATCCTCTTTTCAGGATAGCTATTCTGCTCCCCTGCCACTCTCAGACACACAACATCAACCACCCATTGCCTCATCTCTGGTCATCAACCCTCCACCAGTTCCTCCAGGCTGGCTGCTCATTCTCAGCATCTTCCTCCCTGCCATATTCCGTGGATCTGTCCACACGTCACTCCCTGTGCCAAGACGTTGCTGTTCCTTTTCAACCACCCACTCGCAGGAGCTCTCTGCTTCAACCCTAATTCCTCCCACCCACCGTGCACTTACTCCAGTCCTCATAGACGGGCTCAGGAGCCCCGATGTGCTCCACCACACAGGTGTAGGTGTCCCCATAAGAGGGGGTTATAGCTAAATAGGAGACGGTCTGATATGTCCAGTCTCCATTGGGCTGGGCCATCTTAGGGGCACTACTGTGAGGAGGGACAGGCTGCCCGTTCTTCCACCACGAGATGGTCACATCAGCTGGATAGAAGCCCCACACGTAGCAGGCCAGCATCACATGCTCCTTCGTGTTAAAAGGAGTGGTTTTGGCTACTTGCACAGTTGGTGGCCCTGCATAAGAGGAAAACGTGGTCATGAAAGATGGCACCATTCTGGCTTTTTCTCCAACCTGGTTTCTTGCCAGCTTCAACTCTTCGTGGCCTTTGCCAACCAACCCTCCCCACCCCCACTCCGTGCCTCCATACATCCCTTTGAGAAAGAGGAGTTAGACTTACTCCTGCTTTGCTCTTTATTTCCTCCCATTCCTTCACCGCTCTTTCCCTTCTTTCCTATTCCAAAATTACGGTTGATCGCATTAAGTAGAAGCCAGGTCTGAACTGCAAGCTGTTTCAGAAGTCGCTGTATTTACTTCAAGTGTACAAGCTAAGAGTTGTCAAGAGTTGTAGGTTGGGGTTTGTAAAGGTAGGAAAAAATGTCTGCCCTCAAATCTAATTTAACAAACTAAGTGGCTGAATCAAGCAACATTTTTCCCTTGGATAGTTTAAGGAAACGAGCCTAACTCAGATCTAACTCTCTTAAATTTGGATTAACGTAATCCGAAATAATGAGATTGTTAACATCGCCATTCTCTATTAGCTTATTCTCCTAGGTGACCCTCCTACTTACCTCCACCATGGTGCTTTTCAAACAAAATCTTAAATAAAAAAATCCAAGAAATTGTGTTAAAATGCAGGTTCCCTAGATTGCATCCCCAAATATTTTCACTGAGAGGATCTGCAGTGGCAATCAAGGGCTTATATTTTTAACAAGCACCTTCCCCAGGCAATTCTGAGAAAAGTGGTTCAAAATAACGTCTTAAGACATATTACTCTGTCTTATGGAGATCTCCATGTTTTGTTTTTTTGTGTTTTTTTTTTTTTTTACCAATCTCAAGTCATTCTCAGTGCAAGGACTTTGCGGCAAGAAAGCACATTGAAATCCCCTGGGAGGCTTTCTAAATATTCCCATGCCTGGGCCCATCCCAGACCTAGAACATCAGAACCTATGATAAAGAGGCATGAGCACTTTGGGAAAAGGCATTCTGGTTATTCTGACACACTCCTGGTTGAACTTGACTCTGCATCCTGAGATGGCCTGAATAGATGGAAAGCCTGCTTACTCTCTTACCCCATTGGCCTCAAACATCACCTCCCCTTCTTTGTTCCTGTTCCACCCCCATCAACAACCCTTTGAGGGTCCACACTCACTCTTTCTACATTCCAGGTCCACACATTTTTTTGCTTCTTTCCTGCCCAAATCTCCAACCTCTTGCCTATGGAGGGACTGAGGGATTCTCCCTGGCCTCACCTCTCCTAACTGTGCTTCCCGATAGTCCCTTTGTGCCCCTCTCTTCTTACGTGTCCGGTGGGTCAGTGATTCCCAGAAAGACTGGGTATGTGTGGCACAGTCCTGAAGCCCATTAGACAAGCGCTGGAGCAGGGATTCCTGTTGGTTGAGGAATTCTGAGAGGTACTTGGCCAAAACATTCAGTGTGCCAAATTCACAAGGGGCCATTTTGGCCTCCTCTGGATCCCAGCACGTCAGCAAATCCTTGTTGAAGGAGACACAATATGTGAAATCCTTTGGAGTCCCATCATCATCCAACAGACAGGTGCTTTCCACATGGGCTATAAAGCCACCTACAGGAACCAGAGAAAGGGGGCAGCTCAGAGACCTCCGCAGGGAGCCCAAGCCCCAGTTACACCCAGTGAGTGGGGTGTAGCTTTCTTGCCTCAGGCAGCATCTACAGACCAAGCTCATGTACTGAAGTGTCTGAGAGCACTGATTAAGGGAACAGATGGTAGCAGCAGAAAAGTTTTTAGATGCTGTTTCCTCTTTATGAGACTAAGTATGGGAACAGGAATTATTTGCTAGTTTAAACACAACAATTTACCCAGGACAAGACCTCAGTAAGGCAAATTATTGAGAGAGAAAAGGGGTCAAGGGAAAGAGCCAGCTTTGTTGGCTGGATGTATTATTAAATATTCACTCCACATATATTTATGAAGCACACACACATATAGGCCAGGCACTGTGCTAGGAGCTGAGGATGCAGCAGTAAACAAGACAGATATTGCAGTTGCCTACACTCCAGCAAAAGATACACATTACACAAATAATTATACAGTTCAATTATCTTAAAATTGCTACAAAGATACAAAGGTACAAAGTACTACCTGAGCGTATACCAGGGAGACAAACTCGTCTGCGGTGTCCAGATCCAAGGGACTCCCTTGCTCCAAAGGAGCAGAGGAAGGGAGGGAGGGTCCCAGGCCAGAAACCCTTACCTGCTACGATGGAGCCCAGGCTGAGGCCCAGCAGCAATGGCAGGAGTGTGGTCATGCTCTGCTCTGGGGACACGCCAGGAATTCAGTCCCCTGGACCAATTCTTCCAGGGGCCCTGGTCCTCGCCTGCTCCTGCAACCCCAGCCTGGGTAAATGATGTCCAGACCCTGAGAGGAATGGAGTATAACCCCAGCTCCTTGGCCCCCACTAAAGGAGTGGTCTGGAGCCACCCAGCCCCTAGCCTGTTCCTACCAGCTCTTCTAAACGGGTCCCAAACTAACAGTTGTCAGATTGCTTAGATGGGCGGGGACAAATACGGAGGCAAATCACTAAGTGCTTCAGCCCAGCATCATCAGTTACCAGGTAAATCTTATCCTGCCCTAGGCTTTAAACAACCATGTCTCTTAACTCTTTCCCTGTGGGAAAGAGCAGTCTGTAGGTGGATTTCCTTAGATCACTGGAGAGAATAATCCCAATATTCCCAGAACATATGTAGCCTGGGCTGCCCACTGGTTTAACTGTTTCCCTTCAATATCCTTCCAAGACTGAGACTAGGTAACTTCTCTTGTCCCTTAGAGGGAGGTTACTTAGAAAGATATTGCGTAACCCTTGGTCTGTCCTGTCACCCGGGAGATGGAGGCGGGAGCTGAAAGGCCCTTCCGGAGCAGGTGGCAGAGACAGGGATGTTAAGATGGAAGGAGGCACAGGGAGAGTGCAGGGTTATCTGGCCTCAAAGCGCGACTGCAGAATAAGGGAAGCAGTTCCACTTTAGAGGTCAGAGACAGAGACTGGAAAATCTCTCCCTGGGATTCCATTGCTTCTTGCAGAGCAGCATTTCGTCCTTCCTGCTTTTTTGGAGCTAGGAAATCCTACCCTCAACTACTCTGAGCCGTCTCAAGGTAGACCGCAGGACAATGCCACTTAAACCCTTGATAAATAGCTGGTAATGGACCAGTTCCCAAAGCTCGCCTGTCTCCCCCAAACTCAACACTCTCCTGTGTGTTTCTCCCACTGGTCCTATCTGTCCCAGAGCAGGTCCCTGCACTATGATGCCACTAGAAAAAATAAGATAAAGCTTCCCTCCTTTACTTCCCCTGGAAAAGGCAGGTTTTAAATGGCAATTCATTCTCCTATCCCATTGTGAACTATACAGTTGGTGGCTTTTTCCATCACAAATTTAAAACCTGAAATTGGCTTCTCTCTGTTCCCAGTGGCTGCAGGGCTGCGTCTCCCCGCATTAGTTTCTGCAAGCTTTTGGATTTGATTTAGTAGTGAGCTAAATGAGAGAGGATTAGGAGAGAGCCCCTTGACACCACACTTACCTGTCCTCCCCCAAAGCCCCCAACCCCCGGAGAGTCGATACTTATGAAGAGAAAAGAAGCATGTACCAAAAATGAACAGAAAGATGAATATCAGAAACAAAAGACTTGTGTAACTAATTGAGATTAACTGAAGTTGTGTTTCCCAGCAACCCCCGCTCTCAACCCCACCTTCATTATAAGATGTTTCTACATCCCACCTCCTCTAATGAGCCATCAGGTGAGCGGGAATGGACAGAAAATGGGGGTGGTGAGTCCAAAGTTTGTAGAGCTTCTACTTTGGAACTGATACTATACTAGGTAGACCCTTTCCATGCTATCTCATATAATCTTAAAAGATTTGTTCAGCGTCCTCTTTTTACAGTTTTTGAAAACAGCTCCAAAGATTCACACACAGACACACACTGGTGCACGCGCACGAGCAAGCCCACACACTCACTACATCCTGGGGCTGAGATGACCCACATAAAAGTAGCCAGTGGTGCCCCCCACTGAGAGGCAGATAAAGGGAAAAGCCACTGGACCATCCAAGTCTTTGTTTCCCTGTTCTCAGAATTCCTTCTGTTCTTAGAACCAGCGTCTCCTTGCTTTCTCTTTTGACAGTTTCAAAACCATGTGAACTCTTCCCCACTGGCACGCGCACTTCCCCCTGACGTTCTTCCTCCTCGGCCCAGGTGGGCGGTGAGCCTGACCTCGCGGGAGCCAGGATCCTTCTCCCCGTCTACAAGGCTCGCGCTGGCGGGAGCAGGAACGGCGGCGGTGAGGTCCCGTGCCCGCGCGGGGGCGGTGCCCGCCAGCCAGCCGAGGCCACACGGAGTTCCCTGTCTGGTCTCTGCTCGGGCAGCCAAAGGAGATGTGAAACCTTCCGGGAGGGAGCAGCAGGAAATGCAGAAGATTTCACTTCTCTATTAAGGAGAAGACTGAGGGTGCTTTTTAGAATAAGGCAGGACCGAAAATTCAGAGGCCTGTGCTCAGCCAAGAGCTTTCTTCCTTTCCCCTTTCCTCCTAATTTTCAGACCTAGGTCTGTCCCCCACCGCCCATCAACCCCAAAGACCGTTTCAAGTGCCCTGTCCATTGTGACTGCACAGCCATTTCTGTAGTGCCAGGACTGCCAGGAGCGTAGGAGTGAGGCAGCCTCGTTCCCACGTGCTGTCTTTCTTTTACCCGCGCTGCCCAAGCCCTGAGAGCGGGTTCTCTGCTTTCTCGGGGCTGTCCACGGCGCCACGGGTGGACGGACCGCGGCGTTTCTGTGCAAAGCATTACAGGCAATGCCCAGGGAGGAGACGTGGACTCTGTTCCCACGTCATTCGCTTTAGGTCAGTTGGGGAGTGAGAACAGACATCTGTGAAGAGAAGAGTTTATGGTAAAGCAAGTGAGCGATAAGGCCAGGGTGGTTGAAAGAGAAAAGACAAATCAGGGGCGCCTGGGTGGCTCAGTCGTTAAGCGTCTGCCTTCGGCTCAGGTCATGATCTCAGGGTCCTGGGATCGAGCCCCGCATCGAGCCCCGCATCGAGCCCCGCATCGAGCCCCGCATCGAGCCCCGCATCGAGCCCCGCATCGAGCCCCGCATCGAGCCCCGCATCGAGCTCCACATTGAGCCACCCATCGAGCCACCCATCGAGCCACCCATCGAGCCCCGCATCGGGCTCCTTGCTTAGCGGGAAGCCTGCTTCTCCCTCTCCCACTCCCCCTGCTTGTGTTCCCTCTCTCACCGTGTCTCTCTCTATCAAATAAATAAAATCTTTAAAAAAAAAGAAAGAGAAAAGAGAAATCATTGAGGGCATGGACAGGGTGGATGGGAAGGTGGAACTGATGCTCTACTAGGTAGGCCCTTTCCATGCTTTCTCATATAATCTTAGAAGATTATATGATTATAATCTTAATCATATAATTAAGTTAATCTTATAGATTAACCCTCTCCCAGAGGGCTACTGGAGGTGAGCCCCGACTGCTGGGCTGAAGTCGTGTTCAGGAGAGGAAGGCCCCTGGCATTGCAGTCCTGGCGTAGAGCACAGCAAGCTCCGCAATGTTCTGAGGTGCTGTTGGGGGTCTACCAGGAGCCCGGATTGGCTAAAACAAAAAGGAGCTACAATAGCATCCCTGGCATCACGCACTGAAGGAAGTCGCAAATGTGGTCTCACGCTCTTCCTGAGAGCACTGCCATAATAATAAATCGCTTCTAGGTACTTCCTTCTGGTGCTCCCTGTAAGCTCTCAAGTTCCTCTTCTGAAAAGATGGTTTCAACTCAAGTCTCAATTTTATAAACTCAAAAATTGTTCAACAATCTTTTGCAATTTCAATTGCAATCACCTGCAATCTAAAACCCGTAGTATGAGACCACATTTGTGACTTCCTTCAATGTCTCCTCAAAACTACACACACCTGCACCCTGCCGGGATCACGTTACTTCCCAGTCTGTCCAACCTTATCCCTCCCCACCCCCACCTCACCTCTGTCCCCCCACTCCCTCTTCTCTACAGGATTCACTGCTCCAGACCCCGATCTTGGGGTTACAGGTGCAGTAACTAGCCCATCATCCTTCCATCCTGCAACCAAATGACTTGCACGGCTAGGGGATATTCTACCTGATTTGCCACCACAACTCTTGAATGATGTTATTATCTCCATCTTAACTATGAGAAAATGGAGGCAGAGGGAGGTTAGCAACTGTCCAGACTTACCCAGACACTAAGTAATAGAACCAGGACTTGAACTGAGGATTTATGATTCTAAATTCTATGCTCCTAATAATCAGAAAATAATTGAACATTGCTAGCCATTTATAATAGTAATAAAAACCATAGCATGTTTAGAAATTAACATTAAAAAGTATAAGAACTTTATGAATAAGAGGGAAAACTTTATAAAGTACATAAATGAACACCTCAGAAAGTGAAGAGACATATTCATGGATGGGGCTCCTAACATAACAAGGAAGTCAATTTGTCCCCATATCACTAACCTAAATGCTGTCCTAACCAAATCATAGCAGGGCTTGGGGAGAACTTGTTAAAGTGATTCTAAAATGTGCACGGAAATCAAATCCATGAGTATCAAACAATTTTGATAAAGAAGAGCAAAATGGGACTTTGGGTTTTGGGAGAGGTGAGTGATGAAATGAAAACCAGCCCTGCCAAATAATAAAACATATGAAAAGCCATAATAATTAAAACAATATGATACTGATACAGGAACTGACAAACCAATGGACTGAACAATTCAGAGACAAATCCATGCATATAGGGAAACTTGGTATAAAATCCCTGGGAATAAATGGAATATTTAGTAAATGATATTAAGAAGATCAATTTACTATTTGGAGGAAAAGAAAGTTGTATCCTTATTCCCATCATATGGAAAAATTCCAATCAATAAAGATCTAAATGTGAAAGGAAAACAATAACACAAATGGAAGAAAGCATAGTGAAATATCTAATATTATGTAAAATAAATAAATCTTTTTAAAAAATGAATTTGTTTTATGAAATGTTACATATTTCTCAAGGCAGCCTCTACTAGCCATAAATATTTTCACAACCAGTAAAATGAAAAAAAAAATCTACAATCAGCTTCCTCCACCATTTTGTGAGCAGATTATCAGAAAGTAGCTCTGCCCTCATTTTTCAAGTGTTTTGCACAAACTGATTATCATATGGTGCTGAGACCAGGGAACAGGAGTCGGGGAGGAGTTAGGGGTTTCCCCATTTCCCTCCCTAACAAGGGCAAGCCATGTTCAGGTTATGTGTTGGATTTGAAATGACAACCCATGCACTATTAAGAAATAAGATTTATTGCCCTAAAGTGGGAAGGAATGTGGTCGTGATAGGAAAGCCACTCTGGGTTCCCCTGGGTGCAAGCCCGGGGACAGCAGAGCCCCCAGCTGAGAAACCTGTATAAACGCGCACGTGCACACCCCCCGGGCCATCCCAGGGACTCCTGCTCGGAGAAGGAGAGATCTTGGGCTGGATGTGGGAAACCTCATCTCCCGTTGCATTCATGATCGACACTGCTGGCACCAGACTCTGGTCGGGGAGAATCAATCTGAGGAGAGAGAAGGATGGAGGGAAGCCATTGGGGGACCCCCCCTCCTCCCCAAAGGCCCCTCCCTGCCTGCGGCATATCCTAGAGAAGTTGATCTCTCCTTGGCCCCAAGTCATCTCCAAGCACCCCTCCTGCAGCTCCCCCATATCACTCCTCTCCCACTCAAAGCCATGCCTGTGATCTGATAGCTGTGTGCGTGTATAACTGGGACCGAACCGGGAGGATGTTCATGGTACCTGACTCAGGCCTCCCCACCCAAAGGCCTCCCCATACCGCAGGATGACCCTGGGCATGCCCCCACGGCGCCTCGCTGTATGTGGCTCCCATGGTTCACCCACCCACTCCAGACGCTCTAACTTACCACCTGAGCAAGGCTTTCGGAAGTACATGATTAGGACTAAGCCAACAATGATGCCCAGCACACCCAAGCCAAAGGCCACACCACACAGCACATTCTCCAGAAGGTCAGAGGGCAGCGCATTATGGGGCACTGGAGAAAAGGGGGAGCAGGTCAGCCTGGAGACTTGGTCGGTGAGCCCCCCACTCGGGGGGAATTACATGGGTGTCTGGGATGAAACAGGAGAAACTGAGGCATGAAAAATTAAAGTTGCTCAGGGTGGGAATGGACTTCAACAAAGTCCAAGTAGAAAAAGAAGGCCCTTCCATGGGTCCATCCTTTTTTGCCCCCAAAAGTAAGCAGGCTTCCAAGGAGAAAGTTCTCACCCCAATAGGCAACTGCCGTGTAGTTGTCAATCTCATGAGTCACAACGCAGGAGAATAGGTCAGAGGGTGCTGGTGTGAAGTTTAAGTAAGAAAAGGCCTGGAAGCTGAGTTCATCAACTGCGGACACAAAAGTGGGCCTGATTCCTTCCACAGGGTCGGAGTGATGCTGCCAATTCACCGTCAACGTGGGTGGGAAGAGATTACTGACAAAACAGACCAGGGTGTTGGGCTTGCCAAACTCCAGGGGCTTCAGCGTGAACATGTCAACAATAGGAAACCCTGGTGGGAAGATTGAGGTGTGAGGGAAAGAAGTAACTAGTCTAGATGGTACCCCTCAGTTTGGAAGGGGCGTGGCACACAGAGGGGAGGGCAGAGACAGTGTCCGTGGGGACGGGCTTTGGGAGAAGAGATGAGGGAGGAGCTGGGGCTTGGTGGGAGGTCTTCCTCTAGGCAAGAACGAGACCTGGATCTAGAGGCAGAGCCAGACCCAGGCTACTCTGGGACCCTCCACCCTGACTTCCTGCAGGGCTTCCTGTCTAGACTTCACACGGGCATCTAATCACACGCTGTCTGCTTATTGAAACACAGACACATCTCTGGATACTTCCTTTCTCCCCTTCCATCCTACTGCACATAGCAACACAAGCTCTAATTAATATTCAGTAGGCATCAATTGGTCCCTGTTGCATTCATCAAGTTCAATAAATAGCTCTGAACACCTACTATGTCCTAGGCACACGTCTTTGCCCCACAACAAAAACAGAGTGCAGACCATAGCTGGTAAGGCGAGACCCAGAAGGCATTAGATGAGGGGGCTGGTGTGAAAGGGAATAATTCAGGGCACAGGTTGAGGAGGTTAAGGATGCAGCCCCTCCCCGCACCCCCAGAAACACCCCTGACCTCTAGACACAGGGATTTGCCCTTCGAGTTTGGGTCCTATTTTCTGGATTATAGCTTGGCAGAACTCTTTGTCAAAGAAAATCGTGGAATTATCTCCAGGCTTCTGAGCCCAGTCAGCGAATTCAGGCAGGCGAGGCACTCGGGTGTTCTGGGAAAAGTCAAAGGAGAAAAGCTGGTCCCCATCATAGGCTTCCGAGAGGCTGATGCTGGGACTCCAGTTCTGGCAGTATATTGTGTGCAGGAACGTGTGGTTTTGCAGTTCATCCCGCCACGCTGGGGTAGGAGCTGCAGAGGAGATAGGGTGAGTCAGGGAGAGGGGACTCTCCTCCTCCCCTTTAGCTTAGAAAACAGCAAGGCCTGCTTCAGGCAGGGGGGTAGGCTTCGGGTGTAACCCCTTCTTGTGTCTGTTACTTAGGATCTCTCTCCCAATGGGGTGAAGAAGATATTACAGGATCTCTCCAAACTTCCCCTGCCCATAAAAAGGCCCACTGTCTAAAGTTGTAAAACGTAAAAAAGGTCTACTGTCTAAAGTGACAGATTCGGAGTCCCAGTGTTGGTTGAGTGTTTGTATGCTGCACAGAGGCATCTGGCCAAGGAAGTCATTGGAAGTTGAAATCTCGGGCCTGAACTCTGCTCCCCAAGCCATGCATCCTGGCACAGGGCTGCATCCTTCCCAAAAAAGATATCTTCGTCTAGTCCACAGAAGGCCACTGTACTGACGTTGAAGGCCTTGGGTGGGTTCCCCAGTCTTAGAAGGGAGGGTAAAGGAATGGTCATGGCCTCCCCCACCCACAAATCACACTGTGCATCTTACCCCCAGACAGCATGGTAAGCTGAAAAAAAACAATCTCCAGGCTTCTCTTCAGCCACTTCATTAGCACCAGACCTCTCTGAAAACGTCTTCACCTCCCTCAACCCTCCAGCCCCTGCAATGACAGGACTGGGGGACCCAAAGTTGCAGGAAATAATCTCTATTCTTTGAAATTTCTGGCAAGAATCTCCCCCCCCCACACACACACTAGCGTGAAACTTTCTACCCACTACTCAATACCTAGAGTAATAGATATTTAGAGGAAGAGGGATCTTCCAGATTATTCTTCCATTCTGCCCCGTCCTTTACAAAGAAGGAAACTAAGGACCAATAAAGTTAAGAGACTTTTCAAGAACCAAAAGATGAGCTGATGACGGAGTGCAGAGTAGACGACTAAATAGGACAGTGAAATAATATTTGCTTTGCTCAAATCCCAGCTCTGCCCCCCTTCCAACTGTGTGAGTTTGACCACGTTAGAGTCTGAGTCTCATTTTTTTCCATCTGTAAAATGGATATTTTACAATCTCTGTTTCAAGAGATTGTCTTAAGTGGAACATACAAAGCACCTCTGACATTGCCATCCATCCATAGTTGATCTCTTTCCCAATTCTGCTATTGTTGCCACTACTTCATAATACTTCCCGCGCCACTTAAAAAGCACAGGGCTTCAAATGCAAAGAAGACTTCAAATGCTCTGAGTGGCTCCTCCGGCTCTAAGCGGTCAGGATTGGAGTAAACGAGAGGGATTGTCATACCTTCAGGGGCGGTCCGGGAGTAGGGCAGCAACCACAGGAGGTGTAACAGCCTTAGCAGTGCAGCTCCCCGCCTCTGCTCATGATCCATATCTTCACACCACACCGTGGGCTAAGAGCTACTAGCCAGGGGACCCCGGGCGCCAAACTGCTTCCCCAGATTCTGTTCCGCCCGCTACTTCCAATAGTTGCCCTTATCATTTGGCTAAACCAATCACGGCAGTGTAGGGTTCAACATCATCAGTAGCTGGGGAGAGACGCGGGGCCGGCAACCTTCTCAAGACTTGGCTCTTTCACCCGACGGGAGTCGGGTGTGTAACTGGGCTGGGAAGACAATGGAGGGATGTCTGCCTCCTGCTGGGGATGCCTCTTTAGTATCAAGCTTTCAGCTTCCGCCTGTAACCTAGGTAATGGACTCTTCAGAGCGGCACAACCTCCTGCAGAAGGCGGCAATTGGGGAAGCTCCTCTTCCCACGCCAAACTCCCAGGGCTCTTCAGACCCCGCCTCCTCCTCCTTCCAGCCCTCCCTCCTCTCTCTCTCTGAGAGGTATCCATCAGGCATTAGCTCTAATTCGTTCTGCAGAAATACATGGAAAATTTAATAAGTGCTAGTATTGGGTCCAGAGCTAGAAATACAAAGATGAATAAAGGGTATTCCTGCCTTCAAAGAGCTTAAAGTCTAGTGGGGGGTTGGGTGAATAAATCATTACACAACAATGTAATGTATTCAAACAAGACTGTGCCAAGTCAGGGCAACTGGGTGGCTCAGTTGGTTAAGTGCCTGCCTTTCGCTCTGGTCATGATCCCAGGGTCCCGGGATCTAGTCCCCTGTCCAGCTCCCTGCTCAGCGAGGAGTCTGCTTCTCCCTCTACACTTCCCCCCTGCTCATGATCTCTCTCTCTCAATCTTTCTCTCTCTCTCTCAAATAAATGAATAAAATCTTTAAAAAAATAAAAATAAAAAGAATGTGCCAAGTGTTTTGAAAGTAGTAACTTAATGAGGTGGAACATAATCGAGCCTTCTAAGAATCTTGAAAAAAAAAAAACAATTTGACCAGCAGAACATGAAGGAAGAGAAAAGCATTCTAGGGCAAGGGGTAGGCGAATATGTGAAGGTCAAAGGCATTCAGAGCTCCTTCCCTTGGAGACCTCTATGTGGTTACATGTGAATGGTGTGGAGGCTACTGATTGTGTCCCTGTTTGGTAGTGGGGTGTGGGGGAGTGTCAAGATGAGCTAGAAATTTAAGCAAGAGCCAGATCACATAGGCCATGTTATACCACAAAGAGGGTCTGGCTTTTAGAGATATTAAAACTGAGGAGTGACACAATTATTTTGAATTTTAGAAAAATTGGTCTGACATTTCAAATGATGGACTGGAGCTTGGAAAATTGAGCTAAAACTGCTGGTCAGAGTCTATAGTATATTGCATCAAAATAAAAAGTTGCACACACCCACACACGACTCTTTTTTAGCAATATAGCAATACTTTAGGTGAGAAATGATAAGAGCCTGAATTAAGTCATGAACAGAGGAGATGGAGGAAATAGAATATTGAGATAATTAGGAGGTAGAATCTAAAGGGCTTGGCTACTGATTAGCCCAGTGGAGGGGTCAAGGCTAACCCTAAGATTTCTAGATTGGGTGGCTGGATGGGTGGTCAGTAACAGACTATGTTGAAATAGAGAAGAATGCCATAGAAGCAGATCTGATGAAGAAGAGAATGAGTAGCGTTGTACATGTTGAATTTGAGATGCCAGTGGAAGAGCCAAGCAGGAGACTTGAGGTATATGGGTATGGATCTCAGGTAGGAGCTGAAAAAACTCAATTTGGGAGTCCTCAGCACAAATGTTGAAGCAGAAGCAGTGGATAGACTGCAAGTAGACTATGCAGACGGAGCAGGAAGTGACACAAGGACATAAGTCGGCATGGGTTCCAACCCTAACCTCTTACCACTTATCATCCAGGATCTAGTCGGGAAGATAGAACCACTCTAGGTCTTCCAGACTGAGGGAATTTAATATAGAAAATTGGTTACAGCAGTATTAAAAGGGCAAGAAGTGCAAAAGGAAAAAGCATGTGTCTGGAGGCAAAATAGGAAAGAGGAATACCTAGAAATCAGAAGCTCCTATTGTTCCTGATATGGAATCCCTGCCTACAGCTGCTGTTGCCCTGGGACAGACACCATCATAGCTGGTTCTGGATCTGCTGAAAAGGTTCCAACTTCTTCAAGCCTGGATCACTGAGAAGGTGCTTTCTCTACCTGGGAGGCTGGAGTCCAGAATCACCCATTCTTGCTGCTGCCATATCTACCAGCAACTGCCACTCTGTTGGAAACTAAAGCAGGAAGCTTCTCGGTTTCTCTGCCTTCTTATCTCCTGCCAGTGCCTCCTACTGAGAGAATCTAACAGGAAGTCAACTGGCTAGGAAGCCTGGGAAGTGCATACATTACAGATGCCTAGGCCGAGCAGTCCAGAACACAGTATAGGAGGGTGAGTGGGGTACTGACACCAGAAAATAACCAGTACACAGACATGGACTAATTTGTAGGAATCTAGTGACACCAGGGGCATCCTGATGAATATGAGAGCTAAGAGAAGAACAAGGAAGAAGCAGATTCAGAGAAGCAGAGGTGTTCTATAAAGAAGGACACGGTCAGCATTATAAAATGCTTCCCAGAAGTCAAGGAAGGAATAGAAGTGTCCTTAGATTTGGTAATTATGAAATGGTTGACAAATGTATTGAGAGCAGTTTCAGTGTTGTAGTGGGAGTTGACTCCAGATTGTGGTGGGCTAAGAAGCAAGTGGGAGGTGAGGAAGAAACTGTCACTGTATATGCTGGAAGTCTAATAGAGAAGAAAAAGAGAGAAAGACAGAAGGGGTGGGGGAAGAGGCAGTGAGAAACATCTAATGTGGCAATTAAGTAATCTTAGAAATTAATCTATGTGGATATGGTCCCTCAGCATTTCTCAGACTTTCAAAATCCATACTCCTTTTTGAAAAATAAATAACAGCAGCAATAATAGCCAAACCCAAAAAATAACCCCATGACCTCCTGGATATTCTGAAACACTAATGTGTGAACACACATGCGAGTGTGTGTGGTGGGGACAGGCAGAGTGCCAAGGCTGGGGTAGGGTTTGGAAATCATTGTGTTACATTCCAAAAAACAACATTCTCCCAATGTCCCACTCTTTGTGGACTAACCCATCAGCAGTTCCTGCAGTGGGAAGACTCAGGCCCTTGGGGGGAAGCAGAAAGGAAGTTTATGACATCACCAGGACTATAGGGGGAGACATAGAGCACACAGGCACCTGGAGTCTAAACCAGGGATGGGCAAACTTCTGTAAAGGACCAGATAGTAACCACTTTAGGCTTTGTGGGCCACTCATCTCTGTCTTCTCCACTCAGCTGAGGCCCAAAAACAGCCACAGGCAACATGTCAATGAAAGAGCATGGCTACACTGGTTTCCTCCCTGCTTTTCCTCCCACTTCCTGGGCATCACCTTCTCAGTCTGCTTCGTGGACCACTTCCTTTCAGTTACTCTTTAAATGGTGGTGTTCCCTGGAGTTTTGTTCTTACCCTTCTTTTTTACTTACGGACACTGAAGTGTAAATTTCGTATCATTTTTATGACATCATTCTTCTTTTGCTTTCCTTCCAACCATTTAAATACGTAACCATTTTTCTTAGTTCTCAAGTCACATAAAAGGTGGTGGGCTGGATTTTGCTCCATACCATAGTTTTCTGAACACCGTTCTCTGTGTGTGGTCAGAATTGGGATGGGGGACTCAAAATAAACCAAAGAAGTGCTCCAATCCCCCTTGGAGGTGGCAATGAGTTAATGAATACATTGTGGCCCAGATGGGACAGATTGTTTGGAAGGAGGTCTGAGGGGAAACAGGAGGAAGAAGACTGGGGGGTGGGAAGGCTAGGAACAGGTAGCAGACACGGCAACTATTCTGGGTGGGAGGAAAGAGACAAAAGGGTCCAAGTTCTCCACAGATTATGTGTGGACAAGATCAGGGTGGGCAGATATATAACCACCTATCCTCAAGACTCTGGCGAGGTGTAGTTGAAAAGAGCCTCAGGGGCCTTAGCAGCAAGGGTTGAGCCGCCTTTAATTATGCCTCACCTTTAAAGACCTCCAGCCTCCATCTTTCAAGTTGCACATTACTGGGAGAGACATTCTGACTGGCTCAGCTTGTATTAATGTGTATCTCTGGATCAACTCTTTTCTCTCCCAGTATAAATAGTAATGAGTTCAAACAGTTATGACTACCCTTCCCTCTACGCAATTCTTCCTGTCCGAACTCTCCAACAAGTTCTGTAACAAATCTCTCAAAAAGAGTGTCTAATTCATTTGGGGAAGTAGTAATTGTGCATGAGAGGAGCAAGGCAACCGGTTCTGTATCCCAGTAACTCACCGTTTATTTCGGTCATTAGATAGGAATGTCCCTGAAAATAATGCCTCCTGTAAATCCAGTAGGGCCATGGCTTTCTAACACGGCTCTCCCATCCCTTTCTAGTACTGCCCCATTTATTTTTCCTAGAAGGACAAATTTCCTGAAAAAGGTATGGGTTCCCATATTTCTACTTTTATACTTGCCGTTTAATCCATAACTCTCAACCATGAGACTGTTCGCCAACATTTTTGTGTAGTTAAATCAAATGGGCTCTTTGCAACATTTGACACCGTTGACCACACCCTCCTTCCTAAAACGGCATATTTTTTGGTATCCTGAATGGCACTCTCTCCTAGTCTTTCCTCCCACTTCTCTGGTGTTCTCTTCTCTGTCTTCTTTGTGGACTCCTTTCTTAAGAGTTGGTGTTCCCTGGAGTTTTGTCCTCAATCTTTTCTCTTCTTACACTACATTTGTCCTGGATGGCATGCCTTCAGCTGCCACCTATTTGCTGATGTCTTCCAAATTTACCCCTTGAGCTCAGATCTCGCCCTGAGTTCCATACCACCGAGATACCCAACTGCCTTTAGGCCTCTCCACTTGACCTCCACAGCAGTTCTCAAACTGTATTCTCCACAAAAATATCCCTCAAGAAATTTTTTCAAATGTAAATTTGATAGTAGCAATGTTCTATTTTTAAATTTATTTCCTCACAGAGGTAATAAGATACCAAATACATTTACATAATAATTTTATTATGTAACCATTCATTATATTGAATAAAGTTCTTTGA